CGGGGGGCGGGGCTAGTCTCCGTGTTCCCGAGGGTCTCCCCGGCTCAGCCCTCTCCCCTGAGAAGACCGGCACTTGAGCCCCGCTCCTCCATGCTCTCCGCGCGGCCTTCGAGTTAGGACGACTGAACTTGAGCGGCGAAGCGACTTGCTCGGACTCCGCCCGGATCCCTGATCCCCACGTCCCGGGCCGGGCCCGCGCCCCGAGCCGCTGCTGTTAACATCCGCCTCCGTGCGCGGGCGTGGGGCGCGCTCAGCGCGTTCGCGTACGCGCCGTCCGTTTGCCTTTCGCTGTCCCGTCGGCCAGCTGGGCTGTTGTGCCCGTTTTACGGATGCGGAGCTCCAGGTGGGGAGAGGTAGAGGGACGCGCCCGAGGCCACGGAGAGCGGAGGGGCGGCGCCTAGGGCGCGGAAATTGCGGGCGGAGTTGGGCCCAGGCTCGGGCAGGGAAGCGTGGGACGGGCTGGGGGTTGGCCCCTTCTTAATGGCTGTAGCTCCCCAGTTCTCCGAGGAGACTGGGTCCCAGTGGGGAGCTGCGGAGGTGATCAGCAGTATGTGCCCCAGACTTCCTAGGGACCCTTCAATATTGTTAGTACCCCCCAGCCTTTAGAGCTCCAGTTCACCTGTGTGGAGGGGAACTTGGCCCCTGGTTTTCCCGCAGACGTTCAATTAGTTTAAATGTTTGTAAACAGCCAGGCTGTAAAGATGTTACGTACAGTTTTCTCAGTCATTCGCTCAGCGGCTGTTTATTAATACCTCCCGGTGCTGTCTAAAATGAATCCCTCCCCCCACCCCCACACCACAGTTGAGCGGCCAGCACTTCACCTGGCTTCTGCTTCACGAGGGGCACTCAGTATTAGTTTCCTCAGCCATTCCTGGGGAGTAGTTCTCTCCTAGGTCTTCTCCAGTCACTGGAGGAATTGGTGCTGGGTCCTCTGGCCACTTCTAAACCCATCCCGGTTTCCCAGGTTTGCTCAATAGTTGCTGAATGAGCCAGGCTCTGCAATCCCTCCCCTCAGTTCCCAGCTGCAGGTGGCCTCTGTCTGTTCGGTCTGTACTGTTTTGGTGTGGTTGTGTGCAGCCTTGGGTTGGGTAGGGGGTGGGCTTCAGGGAAGCAGGGAGTGTGCATCCATGGGAAGAACAGGGAATGTGTGTGCAGCCAGGCAGACCTGGTCCCCACAAGCTCCAAAGTTTGTACCAGCTAGTAAATATTCAGCAGGTGATGGCAGTTATCATGGGCCCCTCCCTTGGGAACGTGCTAGGTAAGCATTAAGGCCCTGGAGTCAGACCGCCATTCCCTGCTCCCACTTGCCATGTGATCTTATGCAAGTTACTTAACCATTTCGTTACCTATAAAGTGTGGGCAGTACTTCATTAGGTTATTGTCAGGGCTAAGTGAATTAATTTATCTAAAGTACTTGCAAAGTGTCTGATGAATACTAAGTGCTCAGTAGACATTAGCAGTTTCCCGAATGAGAATATTGCTTTGCTATTATGTGCAGATTGGATTCGGGGAAAATGCAGTCAAAGACTGGTGGAAGAAACTGGACTGCATGCTGTGTGTGAGTTAAAGCTGCTGGAAACTCCATTTTTATTTTACTTGCACAGCCAACAAAGAGAAAAGCTAGATCTGGGAGTCCCTGTCAAGAAATGTAAAAGGTCTGAACAAATATCATTTCCTACAGTAAATATAGTCTTCTACGTGCTTACTAGAAGATTCCTTACTGGGAACTTCGGTTTAACATTGCATAAATGTCCCAGGAACTTCGATCTTAATACTTTAGGAAGAACCTGTGATTATCTCAGAAAATGTCCCTTTTTTTAATCCTCACCCGAGGATATTTTTTCCATTGCTTTTCAGAGAGAGAGAGAGAAAAACATCCATGTGAGAGAGACACATTGAGTGGTTGCCTCCTGCATGCACCAGGGCTGGAGATGATCCTGCAACTTAGGTACTCACCCTTGACTGGAATCGAACCTGGGACCCTGTGGTCTGAGGGCCAACGCTCTAACCATTGAGCCAAACCGGGCAGAAAATGTCCATCTTTTTAATGGAAATAGCAAAAAAAAAAAAAAGCCTGTGGAAGTGTAAATAACCTCTTTCCCCCCAGGGCGTGGAATGTGCTTGGACTTTTTTTTTTTAGTTGTTGATGGTATTACCCCCAATTTGTGCTTGTACTTTAGAACAGCCATTCTGTTTCACGTTCATTGCACCTTGTAAGTCAAGAAAGGGGTCATTATTATTATTATCTGGGCCCCAATTAATTATCAGAGGTTTCCTTGATTAATTCGAAATTCTAGAAAGGGAGGGGATAGTTTTAAGTGCTGCTTCATCCAGGCCATGGTGAGGCACTGTTTTCCCCATGCATAGCATATCTCTAGTGACTTTAGTTGCTCAAGAACTGTGGATGAGTCTCCAGGACAGCCCCGGGCGCCAGCTGCAGTGCAGGCTGCTCCTCTGGTCAATTTCATATCTAGAGAGCATCGCTGATAGAGCTAGTCAAGATAACGTCTGGTTTGATTAGTTTAATGATAGCTATCCACAGCATCCATGCAGTTAGATGAAGGTGGCAAGCAGCCTTAATGGGAAAGTTGGGCCTTAAGTGTGTTGGAATTGAACAGCCCTGGGCCACATGCCCTGTCTGAGGAGTCCTTGGAGCGATGGAAGGAGGGAGTTAGAGAGCTTTTCAATTCAGGCCAGGGCCCTGTTCTGGGTCCACAGTGCTTGTTTCTCTGTTGAAATAAGATAAAGGAAATGTATACTGAAAACAAAGAGGAAAATTAGTTATTACATAACTTAAAGGGGAGAATTAATATTTAAAATGAAACAGCTGCACAAGACTCTTGGAGGGTAAGAGGTTAGTGTGTTATTTTTCTTTATATCTTTAAAGTACCTAATTCAGAATTGACCCAGGGTAATAAAACCAAACTGTGTATTCTCCCTATAAAGATGACCTCGACACACATGTACTCTAACCCAGAGCCCCCCATGGATTAAAATCCACTTTATACTAATCCATGCCCCCATCATTGGCCTGAATCCTTTGACTGGACATATGTCCAGAGCCAGCTGCCACTCTCTCTTCCACAGATAGTCAAGAGAGTCATTCCTAGCCCTATACAGACTTTTTTTGGTCCTCACATATGTCTCAACTCCAGTCATGGTCTAGGGGAGAGAGCTTGGGCTCCGGTGGGGCATTTGCCTTCTCGCCCACCAGGACCCTCCCCAAGACCCGTGGACTACTTGGCCAGTGTCTGGAAGCAGTGCGGCCTTGCACTGTTTGGGTGGGGCAATTAAGAGACTTGCTCAAAACGTCCCTTTCCCCTCTTCCCAAACATTTACTGAGGCAGGAAGTGCAGGATGTGTTTCAGGAACATTAGATAGCCTGCGTTCAGAGGTGAGGCTGCGGGCAGAAGTTGAGGCCAGACCAGGGACTCCAAGGAGAGAGGTTGGGCTTTGTTAGGAAACCCTCAGCTGTTCTTGGAGCAGGAGGTAACATAATTGACTCTATGTTTTAGAGACCTACTTCTAGCAGGAATGTTTATTTGAAAAATTCCTGATGACTAATATCTGCTTTACAACCAGTACTGCTACCTCCTGGGATGAATAGCTGTCTTTTTGTGCAGGAAGAGGAGCAGTGGTTATAAAATACCTGAGCACTGTGAACATTGAATGCCCTAAAGCCTTAGTTCATGAGTGGAGCTGAAAAGAACTGGTGTAACCAGGGAACTGAATGCAGGGAATTGAGGGAAAGTAGCTTACTCACCACAACTACATCACCTCCCTCCTGCAACAAACCTTTTGCACTGTTCCTGTAGATAAAATACGATAGCACAAGGCTGGTATTTCTTGGTGGTCTTTCTTACCTGACAAGCAGTATGGTGTGTGGGTCCCAAAAGTGTGGCCACTCTCAGTGTATTTGCACACCCTCTGGTCACTAGTGAGTGTGCTTTCCCCCTGGACATGACTGAAGTCCTAAGATTTTCCTTAGCCTGGGACATTACTCACTTCCTTAACTCTTCAATTCTCGTCTTTATTTTTGACCCATGCTTAATTTATTGGTACTTTAACTAGATACAGTGAAGTTCAGATCCAGGCTTCATCATTATAGATCTGTGATGTGGGATTTTCTCCTTAAATTTCAGTTTCCTCCTCTATAAAATGGATAATAACCTAATTCTCAGAGCTATGAGGGTTAAAGGAGGTATGTCAAAGTTTATGGACCTTAAGGAAGTGCCCACAGCTGTTAGTTGAGATCATCTTTGTTATAAAACCTTCCATTCATCCCGATGGCCAGTTGTCCCTATGTGGCTTGTCAGCCGTAGACTCCTGTGAATTCTCAGTAGAGCACTTACCATCCCTTACTGATCATCAGAGAGGGAAACTTGAGGAATAGGAATAAACTAAGGTTACAGAGGCATACTCTCCCTTCCCCCTCCTATGGAGGTTTACGGATCTGCCCTTTTCTTCATTCTCTGTTCAGGGATATACTTTGTTTTCAAGAATCTTGTTCTCTGTGTGGTCACTGATCTGATTACTATCACTATAGATGTTTTCCTTTTCTAGAACTTCATAGAAAGGGAGTCTTTCAGTATGAACTCTATGTCTGACTGATTTTACTCAGCAATAGTGTTTTTGAGCTTCATCTGTGTTATTTGGTGTATCAGTAGTTCATTTCTTTTCATTGCTGAGTAATATTTCATTGTATGGATATATCACAGTGTATATCCATTTACCTAATGATTGGCATTTGGTGTGTTTTCAGATTTTGGTGATTATGAATAAAAGCTACTCTGAAGGAAAAAAGAGAAGCTCGTTTTTCCTTTAGTTATTCAAAATAATCACTTTCTGTTGGTTATCTTCTTCCCCCCTATTTAATTTAATTAATTTATTTTTTGAAATATATCTTTATTGATTTCAGAGAGAGGAAAGGAGAGGGAGAAAGAGAGATAGAAACATCAATGATGAGAGAGTCATTGATCGAGCCCACAACCTGGGCATATGCCCTCACTGGGAATCTAACCCTGATCGCCTGGATCCTAGGTCGACGCTCAACCACTGAGCCACGCCTGGCCGAGTTTCCCCCCTATTTTATGGGCAGTGTTTTCTTTCTTGAATGATTGGTGAAATTGAGTAGCTTNAGTTTCCCCCCTATTTTATGGGCAATGTTTTCTTTCTTGAATGATTGGTGAAATTGAGTAGCTTAGTGAGTTTTTTTGGGGGGAGGGGGGTTGTTAATCCTCACCTGAGAATTTTTTTTCCATTGCTTTTCAGAGAGAGTGGACAGGAGGGAGGGAGGGGGAGAAACATCAATGTGAGAGAGACACATCAACTGGTTGCCTCCCACACATGCCTCTACTGGGGGCGGGAAGTGAACCTGTGACCCTTTGGTGCTTCGGCCAATGCTCTTAACCACTGAGCTACACTGGCTAGGCTGGTAGCTTAATTTTTGAAAGGGTAATTGATGCCATGGTGGCTAGATTTGTCCGATTTTGTGGTATTGTAAAATCACACAGAGTATCGCATGATAAGAGCATCTTACCTCCTTTAGTTATAAATATCAGGAACCTTTAGTAATGAGGAGGGTACCCTGGTGATTGGAGGGGGTGGGATTTGGAGAAGGCAGAGGAAGATAGGAAATCTTCAGGAGAAGCTCACGTTTGGATTAGGGTGTGTCTGACCCCCACTGGTGGATGTGCTCATCAATAAAGTTTATACAGCCTGGTTCACCTTGTAATTCCCTTTCCCGAAACCCCTGTGGGAGGTTCAGGATCTTACCCTATTTGGGGCAGGCAAGGTCCTTGTAGGTCCCACTTTTAGGGTCAGGCCCAAGGTTACCCTATGTGCCCTGGTTGCATGGGTAGGAGTTGGGAGGAGCAATTAGTGGCCAGGATCCTAGCAGGGTGTTGCACTAGTCGGTGGGGGCTGGACAGAGGACTGCCTTTGCAGAGGCAGCCTTCTCTAGGAGAAGTGCTTTCAGGGGCAGTCATCACTTCTCCCCTCTCACCTCCCCTGGGGCTTGGAGTAGAAAGGAGGGAAGCTTGGATCCTATTATAAGGGAAAGGTTGTGGGCTCTGGAGTTGGGTCGACCTGGGGTCCAGCCCCAGTCATGCCACTAGCTCTATGATTTGGTTCTTACAGAGGAGATGATAGTGATGGCAACTAACAGATTGTGAACCTGGAAAGATAATGATTGATAGAGGAGCCCTGTAAGGGCCTTGACACTTCGCAGGATCTCAGGATCAAAAAGCTCTTTGAGCCTTTGTCGTTCCACTGGTGCTGGGTTGACACTGGTGAGGAGCTGCAGGGTGTGCCCCTGAGAAGCTCTTAATCCTGCAGGAGGTGCAGACTTGTAAACAAATCATTGAGATGAAGCATGGTAAGTGCCTTAATGGAAGCTTTGTCCTGCTGTAGAAGTGAAAGAGTGGAAGTGGGGTGGGGCTCAGTATCTCCTGCTGCCAGAGCTGCAAGAGCAGAGAAGCCCCAAGTAGGGCTAAAGTGGACATTTTCCATAGTCTGCCTAGAATGCCCTTGACACACTACTCTTTCTGTACACCCTGGACCTCTAACCCTGCCTACCATCCTACAGGTGTCCAGTTGTTTGTGATGTCCCACACAGACTTTGTGCTTTCCTAGAACAGTAGTCTGGTGATTGTTTGGGTATCTGTATGCCCTCCACCCCCAGATCGGAGCCCCAAGAGACCTGTTGCTTACCATGCCCTTTTTAATGGCCTCTCCACTCCAGCCACCACACAAAGCACTCCTGTGGAGGTGCCCTGCCTGGGACCTCCAACTCTCATAGCCGCGCCTCCTCTTGGGAAACCATCTCATTCTTCTAGGACAGCCCTCTGTGCCTATTAACATCTGCCTGTTTTCTCTCCCCACCTGCACTGGGAGGGGAGGGAGAATGGGGCTTATTCCTATTTCATGGCCCTAGTGCTTTGTGGTTTTTTGTTTTGTTTTTTAGATTCCACAGGTAAGTGAAATTATGACATTTGTCTTTCTCTGACTTATTTCACTTAGCACAATATCCTCTAGGTCCATCCGTGTTGTCGTAAATGGTAAGATTTCTATTTTTTATGGCTGAGTCATACTCCATTGTACATATTTACCACCCTTTTTTTTATCCAGTTGCCTATCAATGGCTGTTTCCATATCTTGGCTATTATAAATAATGCTGCAATAAACATAGGGGTGCATGTATCTTTTTGAATTAGTGTTTTGGATTTCTTCTGATAAATACTCAGAATTGGGATATGCTGATTTTTTTGACTGACATCTTTTAGAGGTTATTGTCCCTAATGGTGTCTCAAAACACCTGGTCCAGGGAGCAAAACACTTTTACCTAGTGATAGAAACTGCCAGACCCTCCTTCCTAATTTTGTTTCCAATGCAAAGTTAAAAGCCATAAAACTAGGAAGAAAGCCTCTATTAATTGTTTCCTTGGACAAGGAGCAGCTTTCTGGTTTCTCCAGCCTCTGTCTTTAGTGTAATTGCTATTGATATTCAGATTCACTTAACATTGCAATTTTTATTTGCAGGCTCAGTGTCAGACCAGGAGTTGGAGGTGTCCGATCATATGTTGGGATCCAGCAGAGCTTCCTCAGCCAACCAGCACGCACAGCCACCTTCCAGCAAAGGTTTGATGCCCGGCAGAAGATTGGCCTCTCAGATGCCCGGCTCAAGCTGGGGGTCAAGGATGCCCGGGAAAAGCTTTTGCAGAAAGATGCTCGTTTCCGGATCAAAGGGAAAGTGCAGGATGCCAGAGAGATGCTGAACTCCCGAAAGCAGCAGAGCACGGTGCCCCCAAAACCCCACCAGGTAGCCGATGCCCGGGAGAAGCTCAGCTTGAAGCGGAGTTCCCCCGCTTCCTTCATGAGCCCCCCCATCGGGACGGTGACCCCAGCTCTGAAGCTCACTAAAACCATCCAGGTAGGTGTGGCTCTTGCTATAACTCCCAGGAAGCCAGTAACTAGATTCTGTCAGGGATCAGGGGTCAGGAAATGTTTGGGCAAAGTGTTTGTGTATTAGCCATATAAGCAAGGCAAGATATTATTAAAGGGGGGAGTCCAGAGAATTGAAGTGATTTTCTCAAGTGAGATAGCAGTGGAGGGAAGAGAGGGGAAAGGACAAAGCATTTGTTGAGCATGTGCTACATGGCAAGCACTTACCCTGTATGACCTTATGTATTCCCCGCTGCAACCCTGAGGTTATTATCCCAGTCTTATCAAAGAAACTCAGTCTCAGAGCTGTGAATCATACCCAGAGTTTCACAGCCAGTCATTGGGAAGGCCTGGCTCCTCATACAGTGCCCTGGCCACCTGCACAGCCACCACCCCAAAGGGAATGGGAGCAGTATCATTTAATCTTCACAGCAACTTTGGTAGTAGGAACAGCAGCAGCAGGGAACATTTATTGAGCCAGGTTCATTGAGCCCTACACATGCATTGTCATGTGGTCTCTGGGACAGCCAGTCTTCCTGTCACTCTCCTGCTTTGGGTATGAGTCACTTTGTAGGTCCTTTTACCAAAGACCAAAATTGAGTGCCCCTCATATTTCAAGTTCAGTGATCATAGTGAATGCATGTGTACCCTATGTGATGAATTGTGACCAGTGGGTGTTTCTAGGTTCCACAGCAGAAGGCCATAACACCACCTCATGCCCATCCTGCTGGAATGAGGATTAACGTTGTCAACAATCACCAGGCCAAACAGGTAGGCTGTGAGTGTGTGTGTGTTCTGGACGTGTGTGTGTACACAAGCATGTGTTTTGATTGGACCTGCTAAGTGGATTAACTGATGCTTGGCCCAAGGTTCACAGTTAGAAGAATTGGGGAGGAATTATATTTGACCGTTTGTATTTTATGAGTTGTAAGAAGACATTTCATAATTGGGGAGGAGAAGCATAAGGGGCAGAGATGCAAATTGAAAAAAAAATTTTTTTAATATGTGCTTCATACAGAAAATTTGCAAAATAGAGACAGATTAAAAAGTTCCTTTTGCTCCTCTTCTCCAAAGCCCACCATTGTTGAAATTCTGCCCTGGTTCCTTCCTGTTTTTTAAATATTATTATTTAGTTAATGCATAGTTACAGTTGTGATTATATTCTTAATCCAATTTTGTATCATTCTTTTTTCACTTTATAACTCAAGCATTTTTCTGTGATTCATGTTTACTGTAAACAGCGTTTTTAATAACTGCATAATACATTGAGTTCACGTTCCAGGTGTTTTAAACCATTTTTCTGTACTGTTAGAAATTGTCTGAACATCTTTGTAGATAACACTCTTTATAGGGTTTGGGTTTGTTTCTCTAGACCAGATCGCCAGGGTTGGGCTTTGCAAGCCAAAGGATATAAACAGACATTTTGGGAACTCTTCCTAGGCATTGTCCTTGTAAGAATGTACTTCTGCTGTATCTGGAAGTTGCAGCACTTCCATCAGGCCCTTGTGGGCGGGGAGCCACGTATCAGGACTGGAGCATCAGTCTCTTCAGGCACCCCGAACACCCGCTTCTCCCTCTACCCCAATCACTCCAGCAGTCCTCCCCCTGCTGTCCTTGCTCCAAGTGCCTGTTGACAGCCTGTATGCCATATTAGCTTATATTTCCTTATTTTCAGAACTTATATGACCTGGATGAAGACGATGACATTCCAGCTCCCATTCCTAGTAAACAGATGAAATTTGCAGCCTCGGGCAGCTTTCTCCACCACATGGTAGGGTATTTTATGTTTTGCTTGTGCTCGCTGTGTGTCTGATCAGGTGGATGGTAGAGGTGGTGGAGAATTGGCCTTTTGACTCAGAAATATTTCTTCAGTTGGATCTTAAGATTTTCAGAACTTGAACTAGTCCAACCCTTCATTTTATAAATACTGAGACCAGGGTGTCTAGTGACTTGTTCAGGGTCCCACAGCTAGTGAAGTATAGAGCCATAGTTCCCAATTGATGTAGGTTTGAGTCACTTTGGGAGAAATGTGGGTGACCCCACAGAAAGAATCCCATTTTCTTTCATTTGTGGCAGAACATTCTACTTGTTCCCCTTTCCTCCATGGTCAGCACCTCTAGCCCTATTCTTAAATCTGGATTCCCTTGGTTAGTGTGTTAGCAAATTAATCTGAACCTTACCTGTGGGTTCCACCAGGTGCAGCCTGCTTGCAAGAAAAGCTTGGTAAACTAGGATGCTGGTCAGGTACCATGCAGAAAAGGAAAGAAAGCAACAACAACATCAGGCAGGTCTGTGCTGCTCAGCTCAGTGGATGTTGCCAATTACAGATAGACCAGTGGCCCCCAAGCCAAGTGCCTTTGTTTTGCCTTCAGAGGCCCAAAGACTCAGTTTTGGTCACTGCACTGAATGCGTGGACGTCTCTTGGTTACCAGTGAAGTTCTTCCAGTGCTGCAAGAGGCTGAATAATAACTAGTCTTACAGAGGGGCGGCTTTCCAATCGTTAGACTGCTGGGTCTGCTGCAGAGGGGCTATCTGCTGGCTCAGTGACTGACCTGAATTGAGAACCATGCTGTGTTTCTATTAATTCATTTAGGACTCCTCCTCCCTCCCATCCTGCAAGATGGGTACCATTATTACCCCTATTTTACTGACAAGGAGTCAGGCGCAGAGGGGTTAAATAAACATGCTTATTGTCACCGAGCTTGTAAGTGGAAGATCTAGGATTTAGGTGTAAACAGTTTTGGTTCTCGGCCATGTGTTTAACCGCTATGCTGTCCTCACTCTTGAAACTGAAAAAGCGGTTTGAGGAATGTGAAACCCAACTTGGGGAGGACGTTTCATCTAAAACTAGAGAAGCTACTGAGTCGACCCTGTCTCATACTCTGTCTCTGGCTGCTGCATTCCTCTTCCCTCCCTAAGTCATTGTCTGGTAGACACTGCCTCAGTCAGCAAGACTACCTGCCACTTCTGCATCTTTGTCCTCAGATACATTAATACCAGGGACCTGACTGCTTTATATTTCCAACCACATCCCCAATTGGGTAGCGGGGCAGGGAGGGAACTGTTTCTGCTGGTCTCCATGTGCTGACTCTGCCAGCATGTTTTTTGACAATCTGGGAGCTGCTAGGGCCAGGGCTATGCATGGTGTCCCTGTATGGCCAGAACAGGGACCAGAAAGCTTGGAGTCTGGGCCTTCTTTTTTTTTAACTTTAAAAAAAATTTATTATTATATATCTTTATTGATTTGAGGGAGAGGGAGAGGAAGAAATAGAAACCAATGATGAGAGAGTCACTGATTGGCTACCTCCTACACACACCCTCCTGGGGATCGAGCCCGCAACCCAGGCATGTGCCCTGACTGGTAATTGAACCTTTATCTCTGGATCATAGGTCGATGCTCAACCATGGAGCCATGCCTGGGCCAGGCTGGGCCTTCTTAAAAGTGGGTTCTTAGGCCCAGCCAGCCTGGAGCTGATGATCAGTCCATTGTGATAGAAGCATATGTGGGAATATACTTGGTCCCAAGCTTTTGTCCTTCTGACCAGCCCCAAATTGTTGGGTTTTTATAAAGTCCAAATGGTATGAGTGAGCCTGTGGATCCTGGTCAGGGCTTCATGGATGCTTCTCCCCAAGGGCTTCTAACACTGGAAAGAGGCTTCTGTGAGCACGTGTGCGGGCTGTGTGTTTTTCTCCCCTCCTGTGCCTTTCCTTTCTTGTAGGAGGCCACTGGCAGCCTTTTTGGCTTCAGGCCCTAATGAAATTGGGAAACTGGGAGGCCTCGGGTGGGGGTTGTCAGCCCCTAGCTAGGCATCCAGGTCACTTAGCCTCTCAGATTCCTGTCTGCCTCTTTCTTTAGGCTGGGCTGAGCAGTTCCAAGCTTTCCATGTCCAAGGCCCCCCCTCTGACTAAAGTGGTTCAGAATGATGCATACACGGCTCCTGCTCTCCCCTCCTCGGTTCGAACAAAAGCCTTGACCAGCATGTCCCGGACACTAGTGAACAAGGAGGATTCCCCCAAAGAGCTGCCGCCTGCTGAGGTGAGGTGAAGGTGAAGGTGAAGGAGAGGAAGTGGAAGTGACCACACCAGTTGAGAGTCAGCCTGTGCTGGGTGGGCAGTGTGCTGTATGTACCCTGTTGCGTCCTCACAGCGCCTCTCTGAGGTAGGCGTTGCCACCCCCATTTTACAAATGAGCAAACCAAGACCCAGCAGCCCCTGTGTGCAAAGAGCTCGCAGACAAATGGGGAAAACAGAGCCATGGACAGAGCCTGTGTCTGGTGATACAGCAGTTGTGCCCAGAGAACTGCTGGGAGCATTGAGGAGAGCACAGCTGAGTCCACTGGGCAAATCTAGGAAGGCTGAGCTGGGTGGGTCTTGAAGTAGGAGTGGCATTCTAGGCAGAGGTGCAAAGGCCTAAAAGGGCCGCATGTTTGGGAAACGAGGCTCCATCCTCAGCGTAGGGTGGTGGGGGCATGATGGGTGCTGAGGTCTCTAGTGGGAAGTGGGCCTCCAGGTCACTTGCCTCGGGTGAGTTGTTTGAGCACACAGCTGTTCTCTGCCTTCTGATTACACTCTTGTCTGCGGCAGCCTATCCTCAGCCCTTTGGAAGGCACCAAGATGACTGTGAATAATCTGCACCCTAGAGTCACCGAGGAGGACATTGTTGTGAGTACTGTGCTCACCAGAATTTTCTGTCTCAAACCCCTTCTGGTTCAAGAGTCCCAAGACCACCCCCAGGTTCCCTGATTCTGACAGGACTCAGCATAGAGTCGTATCAGGACTAAGAGGTCATTGCAGGACACAAAGCAAAATCAGCAAAGGCAAAGGCCTGCAGAAACTAGGCACAAACTTCCCGAGTGATCTCGCAGTGGAGTCCCACAGGATGCACTTGATTCCCGGCATCAAGTTGTGATGACGCGTGTGAATCAAGGAAGTTCGTTAGAGACTCACTGTCCAGGGTTTTTGTCAGGGACCAGTCGTGGCACCCTCTGCCTGACACATACCAGAGCTCCAGGCTCCTGGGAGGAAAGCAGGAGGAGGATGTTCAGCATAAATCACAGGTGCTCGGACACAGTGAGCCACTCCTGAGGGGGTGGGAGCCTCCCACAGTCCAAGTCCCCAGACACCAGCCAAGGGCCAACCTTGGAAGCCGGCCTTTCAGAAACAGCAGTCAGATGGGCTGTGCTAGCTTGCTCCACACAGCTCCTACACCAGGGCCCGGGGCTTGTGCTGAGCACGTCTTGAGTGGGCTCTTCAGTCCTGCTGTACAACATCCAGTGGTTTCTATTTTCCTGTGAGTCCTCAGAACTTATGCCTCCTCCAGGGATTTCACAGGATGATTCCAGAGGAAAGGAGTGGGATGGATTGTTGTTATCTGGTGGCTGATCTCTATGGATTGCCCTCCTGGTCCATCCTGTCCTACCCTTGGCAGTTACGGGCAAAACCTAATTCAGGTGCCTGGTGAGTGGGGGCCCAGACCCAGCCAGGACTTCTTCTTTTCAACCTCATTTTCATTCAGGCACCAAGAAAAGGTGTTAGTTTAGAAATCCAGGTGCCCTTTTTACCTCTGAACTGTCAGATCACAGAATGAATGCAACTCGAGACTTCAGCCTCTCCCTGCAGCAGAGTCCCAGGTTCTGGAGCAGCCTACAGTGGTCCCGTGTTTGTTACGGTTGTGTGTAACACACAAGTGCTATGTGATTGCACTTAGAGCTAAGCAGGCATTCCAGTGAATGGCACACGAGAATGGAAATTGTAGCGAATTTTGTGTAATACTTGATAGGTGATAATGAAAACAAATTTTTCCTGATTGTAGAAGTAATACTAGCTACCATTTACTGAGTACAGTGGTACCTCCATTTACAAACATTTTGGTTTACCAATGCTGTAAACCTGGAAGTAAATGCTTCCGTTTTTGAACACGCCTCAGGAGTCGAACATGCCACACGGCTTCCGCTGAGGGCAAGATCCTGAGGCCTAGCTGTCGGCTGTTGATCCCTCGGTTTTTGAACTTTTCAGAACTCGGTCTTTCGCAATGGATTATATTCGAAAATGGAGGTACCACTGTACTTAACGTGCCAGGCGCTTTGTATACAGGATCTTTGAAAATACAGAATAGTGGAAAAACTAATTACCTCTGATGATCACCACTCAAAGAAAACTACCAGTAACCATCACCCTCACTTTTTTCTACCCAAAAAGGTAGTGCTAAAAGAACAACAGTAATAAAATTGGGATCACACCCGGTATTCATTTCCATATCTTGGTTTTGATATTTGACATTTTTTCCTTTATCATTAAAAACAAATTGAGTGTCTATCCCATAACAGCCTTGCAAAGGGCAGTTGCAGGTGAAGAAATGGCTTGGGTACTAACTCATCAGCCTTTGTAAAGGTCTGTCTCCACATTGTGTTCCCTCTCTGCCTCAGTTTCCTGGTCTGTAAAATGAAGGGGGGTTGGAGTAAATGATAACGTGTGTACAAAGCACTACCTTAAAAAGTTCTCAGTTGAGCTTTATAGCAACCCTGGAAGGTAGGCTAGACCAGTGCTGCTTTTTAGAAGAGAAAACGTCCTCAGAGACATGAATAATCTGCTAGAGCTGTGGTCATACAGCTGAGAGGCAGGGCCCCGGAGATCAAATCCAAGTTGGTCTGATTTAGAGTGACCAGCTGTCCTGGGTTTGCTGCCTCCTGGTTAGCACTGAAAGTCCTGTATCCTGGGAATGTCCTCAGTCTAGCCAAGCTGGGACGATTGGTCACTCTATAGAACTCCAGAATTTATTTATTTATTTATTTTAATTTTTAATTTTTAAAAATATATCTTTATTAATTTCAGAGAGAGGAAAGGAGAGGGAAAGAGAGAGAGAGAGAAACATCAATGATGAGAGAGTCATTGGTCAAGCCCGCAACCTGGGCATGTGCCCTGACCAGGAATCGAACCCTGATTGCCTGGATCCCAGGTCGACGCTTAACTGCTGAGCCACGCTCAGCCGGGCCAGAATTTATTTCTAACAGATTCCTGCACGACATACTAGCCACTGTCTTTTTTTTGTAATGTATCTTTATTGATTTCAGGGAGAGGAAGGGAGAGAGAGAAACATCAATGATAAGAGAGTCATTGATCAGCTGCCTCCTGTACGCCCCCTGCTGGGGATCGAGCACCCAACCCAGGCATGTGCCCTGACTGAGAATTGAACTGACGGAGAATTGAACTGTGATCTCCTGGATCATAGGTTGACGCTCAACCATTGAGCCACACTGGCCAGGCAGCCACTGTCTTTTTTTTAAATAAGCCTGTACATTCATTCTCATGACAGAGTTCTCTGAGAGAAATTCCATAACTATTATCCCTAAAAATAGAGGAATTAAGTGGGCACTGAGGCAGGAGGATCTTAGGGGTGACTTTTTGAAGGTCACAGGGACTCCACAGTTTGTAAACTCAGGCCCATTTCTCCAGCAGAGCTTGTCCCCTTCTGGTCCATGCTGAGGCCTGTGGATGTCCCAAGCACACCACCTAAAATGGAGCTTCCCTGAAGTCTTGGGCCCTGGGCATATTCAGCTGTAGTGCAGCCACCAGTCAACTCAGAGCCTTCAGGATGTGTAAATGGCAGGCAGGCAGGGTGATGGCCCGAAATTCTCCCCCAACCCTCACCCCTCTGCTCTTTGCAGGAGCTTTTCTGTGTATGTGGAGCCCTGAAGCGGGCTCGACTGGTCCATCCTGGAGTAGCAGAGGTGGTCTTTGTGAAGAAGGATGATGCCATCACTGCATATAAGAAATACAATAATCGGTGTCTAGACGGTAAGTCATGGAGAAAGCAGCTCCTTCACCTCCCACTCCTCACTGCTTACCGTCAGGCAGCAGGCTTTTGGAACAAGCCTTCCTCTGAGGTGGGTGGGAGGCTATCCTGGTGCATTCGCACCACTGGGGCCTTTTGTGCACCAAGACCAGGCAGGGAGGTGTGTCTGGGTGATGCTGACCTGCCAGCTGCCTCTCCCACAGGGCCCTGGGTTTCACACAACCTAGCACCTAAGCTAGGGGAACACCATTTCTCCATGAATGGTTCTTTTTTTTTTTTTTTCTTTTTAATTTTTATTTTTTAATATATCTTTATTGATTTCAGAGAGAGGAAAGGAGAGGGAGAGAGAGATAGAAACATCAATGATGAGAGAGTCATTGATCAAGCCCACAACCTGGGCATGTGCCCTGACCGGGAATCGAACCCCGATCTCCTGGATCCCAGGTTGACGCTCAACCGCTGAGCCACGCCCAGCCGGGCCATGAATGGTTCTCTTGAGTCTTGGCAGGTACACCAGGATCCATAGCCTCCCCCTTCCAGATGTTGGTCTGCTCAGTGCTAGGAGACTGCTTAGTGCTAGGACACAGGTTCCTTAATGGCCTGGAGCATCGTCTAACTATTGGCACCTGGGCAAGCTCAACTTCTAGTGAGTAAACCACTGATTTCACTTAGTTCAGATTCCCATTTGTCTCTGGGTATCCTAGAGAGAGGAACTCTGTCTGCCATGCTCCTTCTATCCACCTATTTGTTCCTTTGTTGAGTATCTACTATGGAGAAAGGCCCTGTGCTAGCAATGAAGGGACAGAAAGTAATAAAACAGTCAGTGGGAGTTTGGTTTGCATTTTCCTGACGACTAATGATGATGAGCATCCTTTCAGGTGCTTTTGGGGCATTTGTGTATCTTCCTTAGAGAAATGTCTGTTCAGAATCTTTGCTCACTTTTTGAGTTTTCTTTCATTATTGAGTTGTAAGAGTTCTATTTATATTCTTTTTAAAAAATATATCTTTATTGATTTCAGAGAGAGGAAGGGAGAGGGGGAGAGAGAGAGAGAGAAACATCAATGATGAGAGAGTCATTGATCGGCTGCCTCCTGCACACACCCTGCTGGGGATTGAGCCTGCAGCTGGCACATGTGACCTGACCGGGAATTGAACCACGATCTCTTGGACCCTAGGTCGATGCTCAACTGCTGAGACACGCCAGCCAGGCATCTGTTTATATTCTTGATATGAGTCTCTTAGATAAATGGTGTGTCAGTATTTTCTCCTATTATGTAGTTTGTCTTTTTATTCCTCTTAATATATGCATGTAGAGCGATATATTTCCTCCAAGTACTGCATTAGCCACATCCCCTAAGTTTTTTTGTTTGTTTTTAATCCTCATTGGAGGATATTTTTTCCATTGCTTTTCAGAGGCAGTGGAAGGGGGAGAGAGAGAGACATCGATGTGAGAGAGACACATTGATTAGTTGCCTCGTGCACTCTCCCGACCAGGGCTGGGGATTTGAGCCTACAGCCAAGGTATGTGCCCTTGGCCAGAATTGAACCCAGGACCCTTCAGTCTGCAGGCCAACGCTCTAACCACTGAGCAAAACCGGCTAGGGCTCATCCCCTAAGTTTTGATATGTTGTATATTCATTCATCTCAAAGTATTTTCTAATTTACCTTGTGATTTTCTTTGACCCATTGGTTATTTAAGATTGTTTTGTTTAATTTCCATGTTTGTGAGTTGCCCAGATTTTCTTCTGAGTATTTGGGACAGTAGATGTTTTGGAGCTGTTGGGTAGATGTCTTTTGGGTCTAGTTGGGTTATGTTGTTCAAGTCTTCTGTTTCTTTGTTGATCTTCTGCCTGGTTGTTCTGTCCATTACTGAACGTGAAGTGTTGAAACCTTCAACTATTGTTTACTTCTCTCACTTCTGTTAGCTTTTGCTTCGTGTATTTGAGCCTGTCGTTAGTTGCACATAAGTTTACAGTTGTTCTAATTGTTTTCTTTCTAGGGGACTGACCCTTTTATCAGTTACAAAATATCACTCTTTATCTCCAGTGACATTTTTTGTTTTAAAGTCTATTTTAGCTGATACTAGGTTTCTTGGGGTTGCTGTTTGGGTGATAGGTATCTCCTTTTACTTTTAACCTCCTTGTATCTTTGAATATGAAGTGAATCTCCAATAGATAATCAGAATCTATTTCAGATTAATACTAACAAGTCCAGTGAGATAAAAACATTACTTCTGTATGGCTCTATTCCCTCTTTTTGTGCTGTTCTTTTTTTTTTTTTTTAATGTTTAAGTTTGTTTTTTTAAAATTTTCTTTATCTACCTTCGTTGTTTTGCTCTCCCTGTCATGTCGTACGCACAGTGGGAATGCATTACTCAGCACAGGTAACCTTACCTGGGCCGAGTGAAAGTCTGTACATAGGCTTTTGGATCTTAATTTCACAGCACAAACATTTTCCCTCACTAATCACTTCATAAGCAAGGTCAAAGGGCTTCCCACCGAGTCCAAGTTCTCCCTTACTCCTGCTCTTCTCTCCTCCGGTGCGAAGTAAGGTCTGTTTTCATGTTGCTTCTCGGTGCTATCGTTGCCGAGGTTTTGTGGGCCTCACACATTGGGATTTTCTGAGTCCTGGATTTTGCTGGAACCTGGCAGCCGTATCCCCAGTGTGGGGCCAGAGCTGCCAGTGGTGGGTGTTGACCCTAGTGGTGAAGGTGGCAGTCTTGTCCTTTAGTGTGAGGAGCTGTGGTCTTGTGTCAAAGCCTTTTCTCTTTCGGGTTTTCAGGGCAACCAATGAAGTGCAACCTTCACATGAACGGGAACATCATCACCTCTGACCAGCCCATCCTGCTGTAAGTCCCAGAGGCAGCGGTCTGGGGGCAGCATGGAGCTTTCTCCTCGCTTACTCTGCGATCACCTCTCTATCCTGAGGGGTAAATTGCCTGCATCACAGCTCCATCCATTTCCTGTGCTCTGATGGCAGGCGGTTAGTCAGGGTGCTTAGATTTGTACAACGTGGCTTGTCTCGTCATTTCTGCAGGGAATTGGCTTCACAGGGGCTAGCATTAAGACCTGTTCCCAGTCTAATCTAGAAACACCTGAGAAGAAATGGAGAGCAGGCCAGATGTGCCCCTCATTGCAAAACTGGGTGCATTGTCCAAGGGGACGGAGAACTCCACCTCCTGTGATGGCTCTGATGGAGATGGTGCTGGCTGCTGGCCCACATTCTCTCCCACCCGCCTGGGCATACATGCTGGACCAGGACTGAGATGCATAAAACGTTTAGACTGGCAGGACATCCTTTTATAGACAACGAGACAGAGGCCCGGGGAAGATATTAGACTTGCCAAGGTGGGTGGGGTAGTACGGGACAGGCCTGAAATAGACTTTGAAATTTAGAAAGACTGGAATGTGAACCCTGGATATTGAATTGTGTGATTTAGACAAGCTTCTTAAACTGTATTGCAGAACTAAGTTGTATTCTGAAAAATGTGTATCCCATGACCTAAATAAGTTTGGGAATGATTGGGCTAAACAGAGTTAAGTTGATTTCTTTACCTCAAGACTTCTCCGAATGTATAACGATCATGTGTGTAACCATCCCCGAGGGAAGCGCATTGTTTTCTAAACTTAACACCCCAGCTCCCAGCAGACTGCATCTCAGTTTTCTCAAACAGGAAAGATGAAATGAGATACAGGGCACAGAAAGCAGTACATTCGGTGCCTGACTTGTAACATGCCCAACGGGTCCCTCCCCATCTAAGGGAAACTGACAAGGATTTTGACTCTTCTGTGCTCTCCGCAGACGGCTGAGTGACAGCCCCTCAGTGAAAAAGGAAAGTGAGCTGCCTCGCAGGGTGAACTCTGCTGCCTCGTCCAACCCTCCTGCCGAAGTGGACCCTGACACCATCCTAAAGGCGCTCTTCAAGTCCTCGGGGGCCGCTGTGACCACACAGCCCACAGAATTCAAAATCAAACTTTAAGCGGGGGAGTGAGGCAGCCAGAAGTGGGGGCAGAGGAGGGTGGCTCTGTTTCCCAAAGCAAAGGTTGTGACCAATGGGCCGTTGGACTGGAGGCCCCAGGTGGGGGTAGAGAGCTTCCTCACTGGACAGACCCTCCTTTCTGTGATGAGTTCTACCCTGTGCTCTTCTGTATGTTAACATTTCCTGTAATGTGTTTCTTCTCCCTCCACCTTTTCACCAAGGTAGGTTTGTGTTGCTCAGAGTATCTCTCCCCCTCACCTCAGCCCCAAACTGAGTTCTTACCTAGAAATGGCATCCTGGATTCTCTGCGTGCTTTCTTGTGGCTCCATGGAATACAGGGCGGGGCTGTTTGAAGGACACTGCTATCTCCAGGGGTGAGGGGCTTGCCTCCTTTTTTCTTAAACTTTTCAAGAAAATGTAGAATGGAAGTTCCTGCCATTGTAATGGGAGCCAGGTCAGCCCCAAAGATATGCCACCTACCTGCCTGGTCGGTGGAGGTGACCTGGGTGGACATCAGGTCACAGGTTCTTGTCCTCTCCCCACAGTTGGCTCCAGACGAGTCTGGTCTGGAGAGCCCTGTTGGCAAGGGTGGGGTGAGGCTGTTGCTCTGACAGGAAGAGTGCACCCCAGCTCTTGGCTGGAGGGCCATGCTGTGTCAGGCAACTCAGGAAATCCCAGGGTCATGTTTCCCTTTTCCTTCCAGTTAGGCTGAGTGCTCCACCTCAGCTCTCTGGACTTCTGGTTGTCACTGCTGGGATGACTTGCGTTGCTGGTCCAAGTTTTCACTAGCCTGGCGCTCATCACACCCTGGCTTTGATGTTAATGCCACCTCTCCCCTAGTTCTGACACTGTGGGTTTGAACGATTATTGAAAGGGGAGATGTTGGCTTGCATCTGGCTTGTTCTTTCTGGCCTTGGATGTCTGCAGAACAGTCAGGGATGCCGGGAGCCCATATGCAGCTACCACCAAGGGTCACTGTCATCACCACTGTAAGTGACCCATCCATCCATGACCAGGGGGATATTTTCCTGCCTGGGCAGTGAGGGGAAAGGAATGGTGGGTGGTAAGGAGGGAGTTGAGAGAGCAAAGCAGCCCTTCCAGGCAAGCGGTGGGTTACTCAGCATGGTTCCACAGAGTTGGGGCAAAACTGTAGAACCCAGGGCAGCCCTTGAATACCAGACAGCATTGCTTCAGAGTCACTGTCAATTCTCCGGCTGGTTTGTTGGGGCTGTGAAGGGAGTCTAGGCTGGCAGAGCTGAAGAGAGTTGGGGAGCAGGATTCTGGGAGCTCTACAGGACCAGTAGCAAGTGCTGTGAAAGGCACAAACCTAGAAAGTAAAGAGGGCTGGGACACTAAGCTGCTCATGACCTGCTTGGGGCCAGCCCAGTGAAGAAAGCCTGGAAACTCCAGAGAGAGAAATCTGTCAAGCAGAAGGACCCTGGGTTTGAACACAGCTCTGTCTGCCAGCGCAGGTTGCCCAGGCCTGACAAGTCCAAGGAGTATGCCTGGTGCTCCCTTTCCAGTTCTTTAAACATTGCAGTTCTTCCCCTTGAGCAGGTGCAAATCTAATTCTCTCAGTAGCTGGAAGACATTCCTCCTATACTTTGCCCAAACTTCTTGGCCCATAGAGCACCCAAGGCAGTAGGACCTTGTTTCTCAGGTCCAGAGCAGTCTGGCCACACTTGGACTCTGCTTCGAGCCGAGATGGTAAACACTCTGCCTGCGTGGTCACTCTCCCTCCCGTCCCAGGCCAGGCTGCTCTGTTGGCAGAGTGGTGTTGAGCTAGCTGCAGTGCCTGGCCACCTGGACTTGGTCCTCTGCATAGCCATGTGGTACATTGTGGGGTGAAGCCTGTTTGCATCCTCTGGTCTACAGGATGGCATCGTGGAAAACAGAAGAGAAGGTGGGGGCCACCCTGTGTCCCTCTTCCCACTCCCTTGCGTTCCCCATCTCGTTCAGAAGAAGAGGAAGAGGTATTAAGGGATGGAGAAGACTCTGTTACTTACACATTTCTGAATAAATGTTTGTTATTCCTATCTCTGAGCTGTCATTTCTTAAGTTTCACTGAGTGGCCTTAGTAACCAGAAACAGGCATTTGCATTTGCTTTACTACTCCCCAGCGCTGACCTTGGAGCAGAGTTCACAGAACTCACGGAACCCAGTTCTCCACGGCCAAGGTGTGAGCACTGATGTCTGTGGGAGCACCTAGCAGGCAGCTCGGTGCCTCCTGGGCCTGAGGGCTCGCCAGTGCGAAGCGGGGTGAGCCTGACGGATGGAGCGCACACAAACTTCACTGGCTTAACCAGCCAGTATACAGCTCGTGGGTGTGCAGCCGGCAGCACCATCCATCCCTGTGATCCTTTTCATCTCGCAGAGCGGAAGCTACCCATTCAACAGCGACCCCCCATTCTTCCTCCCTGCCCCAGTCCCTGCACTCGCTCCCTGCACAGCCATGTGGTACATTGTGGGGGCAACTGCCGTTCAACTTTCTGTGGTTTTGACTACTCACATGGGTGGAATCATACAGTATTTGTCCTTTTGTGAGCTTATTGATGTTACCATAATGTCCTCAAGGTACATCTGTGTTGTAGCACGTCGATTTCCTTCCTTTTTAAGATGAGTAATATTCCATTGTGTGTATATGCCACATTTTGCTCGCCCATTCATCCACTCATGGACACTTGGGGTGCTTCTATATTTCAGCTATTGAGGATAGTGCTGCTGTGAGCATGGCTGCACAAAAAACTTTCAGACCCTAGTTCCAGTCTTTGGGGCATATACCCAGAAGTGGAATTGTTGGATCATATGGTAATTTTATTACTGAAATTTTGAGGAATCATTCCAATTTCCATTTGCTATTCCCATATAGTTTTATTATGGTAATAAAAGTGAAATACTTCCGCCCGGCCAGCGTGGCTCAGCGGTTAAGCACTGAATTAGGATCTGGAAGGTCACGGTTCAGTTCCCCGTCAGGGCACATGCCTGGGTTGCTGGCTCAATCCCCAGTAGGGAGCATGAAGGAGACGGCTGATCAATGACTCCCTCTCCCTCTCTGAAGTCAGTAAAAATACATTTTTAAAAAAAATGATTTGTTCCCTGGCCGGGTGTGGTTTGGCGGTTGAGCATGGACCTAGGATCCAGGAGATCAAGGTTCGATTCCCAGTCAGGGCACACGCCAGGGTTGCAGGTTCGATGTGCAGGAGGCAGCTGATCAATGACTCCCATCATTGATGTTTCTATATCCCTCTCCCTCTCTCTGAAATCAATGAAGACATTAAAAAAAAAATGAAAAGTCCCATAGTGGCCCCCATCACACAGGCAGAGTAGCAAAGTACTTCCAGTGGTCTACCAAACCCTACGGGATCGCCAGGCCCTGCCTCCTCAGATTCTTCCTCGGGCTCACTGTGTCCTGGCCACATGGGCTCCTGGCCATTTCTCTGCCACACCAGGGAGGCTCCAGCCTCAGGGCCTTTGCTCTTGCCCGGCCCTCTGCTCAGAATACTCTTCTCCCAGACCCCTGAATGCCTTGTTCCCTCACCTCCTTCAAATATTTTTTAAATGTCACTTCAACGAAGCCTTCACCTTACCTAAAATTTCAACACCTCCCCTCACCACACTCCCCCTACTCCACTTTTTCAGCACTTTGCATTGATGCATATGCTTTGTATTTTGCTGCTTTGTATATTTACTGCTTCTTTCCTTTCTTACACTATAAACTCCAGGAAGGCTGTATTTTATTCCCCTTCTGTAGCCCTAGCGTTTAGGACATTGCCTTGAGCATTCACTGCTATTTGTGAGCGGGTGGGTGGGTGGATGGATGTAGAGTTCGCACCAGTTAACGGCCCCTGTCCACGCCTTCATTATTCCCAGATTTATGCGCTGACTTTATTCTGAGCAAAGGAAGGTTGAACGCTGGGGAGACCGGGACCAGAGAAGCGGGCCTGTAACGGAGAGCCCGGGAACCTCACCCGGCGCCGTTGTCATGGAAACGCGCAGGTCCCGGCTCCAACCACAGCTCCCAGCGGCCCGTGCGGCTTCCGGTCGGCAAGATGGTGGCGCGCAGGAGGAAGCGTGCGGCGCGGGACGCCGAAGAGGCGGTTCCGAGCCCGCCCGGCTACTCAGGTGAGGGGCCGCGGGACAGGCGAGGGGCCGCGGGGCCGGGTACGGCCAGGCTGCGCCCAGAGACGGCTCGGGGGTCGGCGGTGGCCCCGGAAGGTCGTGAGGCCGCGGGCCCCCCAGCACCGCCCGGCGCCTTGCTCTCGTCCGGCTAGACTGTCCCCGGACGACCCACTGTGGCCCAGGCCTCCTTTGGGTGACCCCGCCTCTGTCCACGCTCCCCCCCCAGGGCGAGTCCTTCTGCACCTCACCCCGCTCGGCGGGCACGTCTCACCTCCGCGAGTCCTAGTCCGGCCGTCAGCCCTCACCCGGGCAGCTACGTGCCCTTCCAACGGGCTCTCTTGCTTCTGGTCTTGCCCCCGACTTCTCTCCTCCCCATAGGTGCCAGGAAGTTCTTTCTAAAGTCAGATTTACTTTGTTTTATTTTCTTACAGTTTTTACTGATTTTTAGAGAGAAAGGAAGGGAGAGGGAGAAACGTCGATTGGCTGCCTCCGGTACGCCCCCTACCGGGCACCAGCCGGCACCTCCAGCGTGTGCCCTTGTCCGGGAACGGAATCGGCCACCTCCCGGTGCGCGGAGGATGCCCAGCCGGCTGAGCCCCACTGGCCCGTGCTAAAGTCAGATTTAAGTGGTGGGGGGAGGATGGTGTGAGAAAAGGCCACAGAGGTGGTCAGGGTCAGCTGGGCCTCCAGCCACGCTAAGGATTTTGGTATTTACCCCACGAGCAGCAGCAGCAAACTTCCCTCTTGTTTCACTCCGCACCTGCAATAATTGCTCCGTTGCATTCTGTCTCCTCCACCAGTCCTGGGCAGATTCTCTGCTCGCTCACTCTCATAGACTGCATAGCACCCTGCACAGGCCTTCGTAGAGGGAGGGCTCAGGGAAGGGTGGGTGGACAGGGGACTAGAAAGGGGCAGCCTGAACCTGACTTTCATGCCATCCCTCCCTGCCCCATTTTCCTTTCAGCCGTTCCGATCAAGTTCTCTGAAAAGCAGCAGGCTTCCCATTACCTGTATATGAGAGAGCACAGAGTCCGAGAGGGCACCAAGTCTTCCTGGCCTCAGAAGAGGACCCTTTTTGTCCTCAACGTGCCCCCATACTGCACAGAGGTGAGGTGGTATCTGGGAGGGAGCCCATAGGCTCGGGTGGGGCTCCAGGCGGAGCTGGGCTTCCACTGGCCCCCACCACGCCCTTAGTGGTGAGATGGAGGCAGCTAACTGAAGCCCCAAGGGAGGGTATCCAGAGGGCAGCCTCTCTCTCTCCTGACAGGAAATTTGCTTTTTAAAGATGTGCTTTTAAAAACATAATTCTAAGGAGCCCAAAGCTTTTTATTACGTAGAATTGTTTCAGTTGCATGTTGGTTTCCCCTGATTTTAAAAGTGGTGCATGTCCATAGTAAAAATAGGAAAACTGAAAGAAAACAAAATTACTTCTAAATCTCTCCAGACATAGCAACTTTTTTCCACAAAGCTGCTAAATTTAGTATTATGTAAATTTATAGAAGAGAAACTAATTTCTTTTTCCAAAAAAGAAATATCAGTTTCTAAAAGATTATAGAGAAAAAACCATTAAGAGGAGAGGGTGTCCTTTTTAACCTTGACTGAAGAATAATGTATGTATGGGGAAGGCCTGGGCAGCGGTGTCCAGCCCGTATTGCATAGGCTGATGGTGCCCATGTCAGCAGCACCCGCACCTCGAGGTCTGCTCGTACCCCGCCCCCCAAGGCTAACTATCGTCCTGATTCCAACAGCATAGGTTTAACTCTGTTTTTAAAAGGCTGATTCAAGTAGTAAAATTTATTTAGTGGTTTCATAAAATCAGATACTCAGAATAACACCAAAAATAATGTCCCTACCTATTCTTGTGATAATTTAAAAAAATTTTTTTAATCCTCACTGGAGGATATGTTTTCCATTGCTTTTCAGAGAGAGTGGAAGGGAGAGAGTTAGGAGAGAGAATCATCAATGTAAGAGAGACACATCGATTGGTTGCCCCCATATGCACCCCGGCCTGGGGCTGGGGATCGTGCCTGCAACCAAGGTATGTGCCCTTAGCCAGAAGCGAACTCGGGACCCTTCAGTCCGCAGCCAACGCTCTAACCATGGAGCCAAACTGGCTAGGGCTTTTTTTTTTTTTTAATTAAAAGGTTTTGTTAATTGATTTGAGATGGGGGTGGAAAGGAGAGAGATGGTTGATTCTTGTGTGTGCCCTGACCCGAGTTCGAACCCACGACCTTGGCGCATTGGGCCAATGCTCTAACCAACTGAGCCACCTGGCCAGGGTGCATAATAATTTTTTTAAAAAATTTAGAACTTAATCCCACTTTTGGGATCATGTACCCAGAGAAATTGGTAGGAAAGACTGATCTTTCAGCAAGGTGCCCTTTCAAAGTGAGAAATCTCTTTCACTTGGTGAGAAAACCAAACACATCTGGGCATGTGCTTCCACAGGGTCCTGTCACAAAGCCAGAAACCTTATACCTGAGTTCCGTCTCACTCCATCTCCTCCTGCCAGGGGAGGTGTGTTCCCACGGGCCCTGGGAGGGTAGGGTTTTAACCTTCACGCTGAGGAGGGTGTGGCTTCCAGGCCCTCCCTGCGTGTCTGTGTCCCCAGCTTGGGCACAGACCTCCAGGGCTGTAGGGAGGCTCTTGGAAGGCCCTGCAGCCACTCACACTGCTTTCTTGGGCCCTGGCAGGAGTCGCTGTCCCGCCTCTTCTCTCCCTGTGGCTCCGTCCAGTCAGTGGAATTACAGGGGAAGCCCGAGCTCACTGAGATCCCAAAGGAGCCAAAGTCGAAGTTTTTTCACCCCAAGCCCGTTCCAGTAAGCCTGCAAGTGCTGGGGTCTGCAAGAATGGGGGTGCGGGGTGGCCTAGGTCAGTGTCCCTGGCGTGAGGGGAAGGTGGTGTCTGGTGGCAGTGGGACTTTCAGAGGATTCCCTAGTGCCCTGGGCCAGGCCTTGCAGTGTGTGGTCTAGCAGGGCTGGCAGGAAAAGCCTCTGCTCCTTACCCCAGACTTGCCACATCCCTTAGCTTCCTGCTGCTCTTCCATTGTCCTGGGTGGAAGCTCAGAGACCATCTCCTCCCCCCTGCCTGAGGGCCTCTCTGAGGTCAGGGCTGCAGTGGCCCCATTGTCATTCCGTGTCCCTGGAGCCCACACCTGCCGGTGTAGTGGAATTGGAATTAGTATGGCCCTGCATGTCCATCCACTCCTGGCCTGGGATGAGCACCTTTTCTCTGAATCTCCCCCATAACTAAAAGAAAAGCCCCTGGTGGGAACAGGCACATGTTGGGTAACCAGGAGCACAGCCCTCCCCTTTGGATTATGGACAACCTCCTGGTTATCGTCACCGTTTGGGGACAGCCCTGCACATTTCCCCTGGTCCAGGGTCAGGTCAGGCTGAGGGTAGGTGGGACGCATGTGCCTGGTGTGGGCTGTGGGCGGCTGGAAGAAAAGGGAGGCTCCCAGCACTGTGACACCTCCCCCTCCCTCCAGGGCTTCCAGGTGGCCTACGTGGTGTTCCAGAAGCCAAGTGGGGTGCCAGCTGCCTTAGCCCTGAAGGGCCCTTTGCTGGTCTCGACAGAGAGTCACCCCGTGAAGAGCGGCATTCACAGTCAGTGCTGCGCAAGGGTTGGGGCCTCCTTCCTGGGCCTTGGGGTGGCGGGAGAACCTGTGGGGGCAGCAGCAGCCATGTTCACTTGCCCTGAGAGCACCATGTGGGAGGCTGAGCCTGAGGAAGGCCTGTTTCTCTCTTCCCTGCTCCCTCAGAGTGGATCAGTGACTATATAGACTCCGTGCCGGACCCAGAGGCCCTGAGGGTTGAAGTGGACACGTTCATGGAGGCATATGACAAGAAGATAGCCGAGGTGGGGCTTCCATGGGGTGGCCGCATGTCACCTATGTCACTATGGGGAAGGCGGTGCCACAGGTATCGTTGTGTGGCACCTGAGGGGGAATTGGCAGCCTATCCTGGTCACCATGTAGAGTCTAAATTTCCTTTTTGCCTGCTGAGTCCTGGGTCACCTGAGTTGGTAATGTCTGGTCTCTAGGTCTATAGAGTAAGAACCGTCCGAGGTTGGAGGAAGAGGCAGCATTGGCATGTCTGCTTCCACCCCCCAACTTGGGCACCAACACTGCTGGGGTAGAAGGAGCAGCAGGTGCCCTTGGGAGCAGATTCTGGATGTGTGGGGTGGGGGGAGCCTGGAGAGGAATAGAGGTGAAGTGCTCCTGAGGCTACAGGGCGAGTCCTGGCACCGTCACAGGGTCCTGTTCCTTGCAGGAGGAAGCTAAGGCCAAGGAGGAGGAAGGAGTCCCTGACGATGAGGGCTGGGTGAAGGTGACCCGCCGTGGCCGGCGGCCTGTACTCCCCCGGACAGAGGCAGCCAGCCTGCGGGTGCTAGAGAGGGAGAAGCGGAAGCGCGCCCGCAAGGAGCTGCTCAATTTCTACGCCTGGCAGCACCGCGAGACCAAGATGGAGCGTAAGGGTGCCCCCAGCCCATCCACTGCCCCACTGCCCTTGGCCCCTGGCCCTGTGGACAAGGCCTGTGGCAGGCCCTGGACCTGGAATCTGGGCCAGGGTGTCCTTAGGCCCAGATTTCCCAACAGGCTTTGGGGTTGGGGTCCCAGCTCAGCAGCACCTGTGTGCTGGCCCCCCTGTTGCTCCCCAGAGGTCACTGTGGGGGCCCCTGGGTCTTTGGGGCTGTAGAGGCACCTGGGATTTAGGACCGACAGCCAGACCCCTGAGCAGTTAGTGCTGGAGCCAGATTGCAGAAGGTGGATCTCAGGTGCTGGCTGTGGGTGCAGAGAAGGCTGTGGCCATGTGTGTGTATGGTGGGGGCAGAGGCAGGCCAACTCTAATGGGGGGCAGTGGGGCTCAGCTCCCACAGGGCATGTCTGATTCTGGCCATTTCGCTTTTTCCCCTCGTGCCCCAGATCTCGCACAACTGCGCAAGAAGTTCGAGGAGGACAAGCAGAGGATTGAACTGATGCGAGCCCAACGCAGATTTCGTCCCTACTGAGCTGGCACAGGTGGGTAGTGGGTGGCCAGCGAGGACAGGAAGGCCTGGATGCTCACTGGACTGCCCAGGCTAAGCGGCTGCCACATCAAACAGCACCAAAAATCTGAGCCCACACACAGCAGGGTGAAGGACAGTGTCACCCCTCAGTCCTTGTGCTTCAACTGTCCTGAGCCCAGTGCCGGTGAGGCCGGCCTGGCATGAGGACTTGGCCTCAGGAAGCCACTGGCCCAGGAAGTGGTTCCTTCCCACTCCTGCTCTCTTCCCAGCCTGTCTCTGGATCCCCTCTAAAAGCTAAGTGTCTGCTCTAGTCCTCCCTTACCTTCAGGGGGCAAGCGCCCACTGCAGTGAAGCCTCAGAAGCAATGAGAGAAAATACAAGAACAGTTTACTCTTCACTCAGGCAGACGGCAGGAAGAGGCTGCAGAAGCTGCTGGGCTGCAGGCCAGGCAGGCCTGTCCCAGCCCCTCCTTCCTGCAGCCCCACCAGCTCACTGCAGATGATCCACAAAACAGACTACCCCGAATTCAGACATGGTTTCCCCCTGTGAAGACACAAATTTTGGAAACAAACCTCACCCCACACCTCCACTTCCAGCTCGTGCTGGTCAAGACCAGGGAGGCCTGTTTCCATGGCAGCTGGCCTGGCTGGGGGCCGCGGGAGCTGGGTGTCCGGGTGGTGAGCTGAGAGCACAAAGTCTCAGTAGCCCCAGGCCCAGGGCTACAGCTAGGCTGGGATCCTGTCCCTGCGCTGTAAGAAGGAGCTCATGACACCGGCCACAAGATCTGGTTGGTTCACGTGGATATAGTGATTGTTGGGGACTTCCACAAACGAACCGCTGGAGAGGAAGGGGACAGGCAGTGGAGTGTGGCCCAGAGGGGGGGCTCCAAGGGCGCCTGTGCTGAGGCTTTCCAGTGGTCTGCCTCCCTGTGGTTCAGAAGTGTCCCCCACGGTGAGCTGCAGGACCGGGACTGACCCAGAGCTCTCAGGCCCATCTATGCATAGCACCCCTTGGTGATTCAGTGCTCGCTCCAAGTCATGAGAAAGACCTCACTGGGATGGGAGTGTCCGAACCCTGGGGTCCTGGGCCATTCTGAGTTGTGAACTTGCGGAGCGACGCTGAAGAACAGCAAGTGGTCAGGGTGCTGCTGGTTCTACAGGTGTCCCCCAAAAATGTATACATGCTAATGGCTGGTGGCTCAGTTTTGAAAATGAGATATACTTTAATAAACACTGCCTTTGCAGTTATTCAGTGTGTGTGTACATCATTAGGGATACCCTATGAGGCCCACTTGAGAGAGAAGGAGCAGCTTTTCACACCTGCTCCTGCTGGGAGAAAGGCCGACAAGACAGGAAGGTGCCACCTGTTGGTTGGCCGGCCACACACACGCCTCCCTTTTCGTGAGGACACGAAGATGTCTACTGAGCCCCAGGGTCAGGTGTCTGTGGTGGATGGTGATGGTAACGCTGTGGCTCCCAGCCCTCCAACTTAGAGCCCCCCACCCTACCCCTGCAGCCAGCGCCCAATGAGGGGGCTGGTCCTCTGTTCCCATTTGGGACCCTAGAAAATTGTGGGATGGCCTCTGGCTGAGTAGGGCTTGACCTGGTGGGTATGAGGACAGTAAAATTTGGAGAGTCTGCCAACGAACAGTATTCCTGTGCTAATCTGTAAGTGGCCACAGCTGGGAGCAAGGCCTAGGGGTGGGGGCTGAGGCAGACCGGGGACCCCAGTGCAAGAAAGAGCCCGCGTGGTGGAGCCCAGAGGGCCGATGCCCCGCACCTACCTCTCCTAGGATGGATTTCAGGTGGTCAGTCATGAAAAGCATGTTCCCCTGGTCACCATTGTTCTCTCACATGTTATTGAACCCTTGGGTTGCTCTGGAAGGCAAGGAACTGGGGTTCATCTCAGGCCCACCTCTGGTAGTGCCCTCTGCTCTGGGTGGGCACCCTCCTGCCTGCCCACAGCTGGGTCCCTTGACGCTCAGGTTTAATTTGAGATTCAGCCACTCAGTAACAACCCGCTCACAGTCACTGCCCCTGAGTGGCAGAGCCAGTGAACAGCGGGAGTCCATGCTTTTCCCTTTTTAAGAAAATAGCTTTACTGAGATAATTTCACCCATTTTAATTGTCAACTTCCATGGTTTGTAATATATTCAGTTGTGCAATCATCACTAGTCAATTTTAGAACATTTTCCTCACCTCAAAAAAATCACAAAACTCCAAACCTGTGTTCCCCCTCCCACACACAGCTGCCAGCCTCACCACCACCAGGTGACATTCTGTCCATAGGTTTCCCTACTTGGACTGGCACGGGGATGGGAGCCTGTGGTGCGCGCTCCGTGGCTGGCTTCTCACTGAACGCAGTGTTTTCGAGGCTCATCCGTGCTGTGGACGAACAGCATGCGTCAGTACTTCACTGACTGTGCGGGTGGGCATTTGGGTCGCCTCCCCCTTTCGGTCCTGAGTGAGGCTGCTCTGAATCATCGTGTGCAAGGCGTGCTGACCTGACTGTTGGGTTTACACCTGGGAGTGGAACTGCCAAGCGAGAGGGTCATGGTGGTAACTGAATGCTGAGAGGCTGCCAGACTGTTTGCCAAAGTGGCCACACTTTATGACCCATGGCTGCGTGTGAGGGCTCCGGCTTCGCCCCATCCTGTGGATGTAAACTGTTGTCTCGGTTCGAGTATAACCGTCCTGGTGGGTGTGCAGTGGTTTGGATTTGCATATCTTGACCCATGCCTTCTAAGCCCTGTGCTCAGCACCAGAGACACAGATGTGCCTGGAAGTCACAGACCGTGCCTTGGGCATGGACTGTGCAGGATGGTTGCAGTGGAGGGGGAGTGGCATCTAAGCCACGTTAAAGGATGGTCACTGCTGTGAGACCCTGCGGCGGTGGAACTGCTAATGGCTGGGTGCTGGGAGTGTGAGGGTCTGGGGTGGCTAGAGGGTTGGGGTGCCCTCCATAGTCGCCTATTGAAAGGTGTGTAGTCCTTGCCCCATCCTCTGCTGCCCAGGCCCTCCAATCGCTTTGCCTTCCTTCCACACACCAGCTTCCAGAGGCTTCCCAGGAAAGATGGCAGCGTGGTCTTGCAGTGGGAG